CAAGAGCCGAAAAAGTTCAAAAATTGATTTTGGAAGCCAATCAAGAGCCGGGGATATTCAAAATTTGAATTTCTAAGCCAATCAAGAGCCAGCAATAATCAAAGTTTGAATTTTAAACTCAATCAGGAGCTGAAAAAATTCAAAAATTAACTTTGGAATCCAATCAAAAGAGGGGAATATTCAAAATTTGAATTTTTAAGCCAATCAAGAGCCGGGAATATTCACAATTTGAAGCCAATCAAAAGCCAGGAATAATCAAAAATGCAATTTCTAAACCAATCATGAGCCGGGAATATTCAAAATTTGAATTTCAGGGCCAAGCAAAATAAGCCAAAAATAAGCAAAATTTGAATTATTTTCATTTTCTCTTATATTGCGTTTCCAGTAACATATTTGAAGTAAATAAACCTAATGTGCGCATGCTTAGGACTTATGTTACGTCTTTACGGTTACGTTACGTCCATTGCAAAATGGGCTTTAGTTATCACTAAAATAACTTTAAACAACATAAACCAGTACTTACAGATAAAAAAAAGCTATCAAATGACATATCACTCGACCCCTCTTTCCAATTGAAATTTTGGGGTACCTGCCTCCCCCCCCCCCCGTTTAGGGGTTGACAGCTAGAGGGTAAAAATACCAATAAAATGTGTTCCCCAAAAAACAAAAATTGACGGATCGGGTGGGAAGTTTTCGTGCCCCACCCGGTATAAAGCTTCAGATAAAAATAAGTTTTAAAAATAGCGAATCAAGGGTCACCTGCTTCTTTGGAGTTAGTTCATGCTGAAATTTGTGGGCTTATGGAGACGTACGTCAATGGGAGGCTCTCGCTATTTCCTTCTCAAAAACGATTTTTCATCATATTTTTTAAAGCAAAAATCCGAGGTCAAAAGATGCATTAAAAAATTTATAAATGTAACAGAGCGAGAAACAAGTTTCAAAATGAAAATTTTAAGAACAGATAATGGTCTGGAATTTATAAATAAAAATGTTATGGAAATGTTGCATGAAAAAGGCATTCTACATGAAAAAACTGTGGTATACACACCTGAACAAAATGAAGGGTAGAACGTGAAAATAGGACCTAAGTAGAACCAGCAAGAACTTTATTGAACAGCAACAACCACTTCTTTTGAATTATGGCACCAAAAAACTGTAGATATACACAACTTCAAAGTTTTTAATAGTATTGTATCCGTGCACATTCCTAGAAAAACAAGGCTAAAATGGGACCAAAGTTTCTTGGATATGGAAGATACAAAAGGATTCAGGGTAAATATTCCTGAGAAGCGAAAAATGGAAATCCACAGAGATGTTTCTTGCCAGAAAAAAGTGAAGTAGAGAGTAAGACAGATGAAGCAATAAAAATGATGAAAGAAAATAATGAAGAAGTAACAACTGGCTTGGAATATATGGAGAATCATGGAAACAGATCGGAAAACAGTGAAAACTTGGATGAAAATGCAGAAAATCTTAGTGAAAATGGGAAAAATTTGGGCTAAAGCTATCAACACTATTACGTACACACTGAACAGAACAGGTCCAAGCCTTCAAAAATATTCCACTCCTTTTCAATTATCGCACCAAAAAACTGTAGATATACACAACTTCAAAGTTTTTAATAGTATTGTATCCGTGCACATTCCTAGAAAAACAAGGCTAAAATGGGACCAAAGTTTCTTGGATATGGAAGATACAAAAGGATTCAGGGTAAATATTCCTGAGAAGCGAAAAATGGAAATCCACAGAGATGTTTCTTGCCAGAAAAAAGCGAAGTAGAGAGTAAGACAGATGAAGCAATAAAAATGATGAAAGAAAATAATGAAGAAGTAACAACTGGCTTGGAATATATGGAGAATCATGGAAACAGATCGGAAAACAGTGAAAACTTGGATAAAAATGCAGAAAATCTTAGTGAAAATGGGAAAAATTTGGGCTAAAGCTATCAACACTATTACGTACACACTGAATAGAACAGGTCCAAGCCTTCAAAAATATTCCACTCCTTTTCAATTATGGCACCAAAAAACTGTAGATATACACAACTTCAAAGTTTTTAATAGTATTGTATCCGTGCACATTCCTAGAAAAACAAGGCTAAAATGGGACCAAAGTTTCTTGAATATGGAAGATACAATAGGATTCAGGGTAAATATTCCTGAGAAGCGAAAAATGGAAATCCACAGAGATGTTTCTTGCCAGAAAAAAGTGAAATAGAGAGTAAGACAGATGAAGCAATAAAAATGATGAAAGAAAATAATGAAGAAGTAACAACTGGCTTGGAATATATGGAGAATCATGGAAACAGATCGGAAAACAGTGAAAACTTGGATGAAAATGCAGAAAATCTTAGTGAAAATGGGAAAAATTTGGGCTAAAGCTATCAACACTATTACGTACACACTGAATAGAACAGGTCCAAGCCTTCAAAAATATTCCACTCCTTTCCAATTATGGCACCAAAAAACTGTAGATATACACAACTTCAAAGTTTTTAATAGTATTGTATCCGTGCACATTCCTAGAAAAACAAGGCTAAAATGGAACCAAAGTTTCTTGGATATGGAAGATACAAAAGGATTCAGGGTAAATATTCCTGAGAAGCGAAAAATGGAAATCCACAGAGATGTTTCTTGCCAGAAAAAAGCGAAGTAGAGAGTAAGACAGATGAAGCAATAAAAATGATGAAAGAGAATAATGAAGAAGTAACAAATGGCTTGGAATATATGGAGAATCATGGAAACAGATCGGAAAACAGTGAAAACTTGGATGAAAATACAGAAAATCTTAGTGAAAATGAGAACAGTAGAGTGTATCAAGGTAGTAAGGATAATGATTCTGAAATTAATGAAGAAATTGTAGATGGCAAACACAATCTAAGAAAAGAACGGGAAAGAAACACCAGGTATGATAAGTATGAAATGGAAAGCAATCTACAGTGGTTCTGTCTTCCACCGAAGTTAAGTATGTTCCATCAAGTTTTGCAGTGAGCGAAACATGTTGGCTTCGATATTTGATGATTGATTTTCAGGTTGTAGATGATTGTAGTATAGTAATTTATGAAGACAATCAGTCAGCATTAAAACTCTGTAAAAATCCAGAATTTCACAACTGACTAAAGCATGAAATACGTGAATTCCAGAGGTAGATTTTCTATCAACCCTGTCTCCTGATCAGTAAGAGTTTGGGGATTTATGGTTAATTGGAATTATTGAAAATGTTCAACAAACAATAGCAAATCAATTCAACCCTCTTTTGGGTAAAATGAAAATTTAACCTTTAAAAAATCTCTGTTTTCTACTATTATAATCAGTAAAAGTAAAAAATTATCTTAATGTTCTGATGTAAACGCATCCAAAGCTTAGCCAATGTAATTTCCATAGTTCTGTATCAACTCAATCGAAATGACTGGGTTTACACCGGCACCTTTAATAAAAATTCAAAACTAAAATCACATTTTCTTCTGACAAGGTTATGAAAAGGTGGCCCATCCAATTCTAAACAAGAACATATAGCTACCTAATTATTATAATTTTATTAAATATCAATTGAGTGTAATATATTTTATATGGATGATTAAAATTGGATGATTTTAATGATTATTAAACTTTCAAGCTAGAGAGATAAAATTTTATATTTTTCATTCAAAACAAAATATCACAAATTTCCATTGTTCCTCCTAATTAGCAAATGTAAAAACAATTCTCCAATGCATTCCAATTAACAATATTTTGTTAATTGAAGATCTGGCACCAAAATATTGTCCCAACAAGTTAACACTTTTCAGTAAGTATGGGACGCTTACTTTGTAACACAAAAAAACCCACTCATTTATTTTATAAAAATAGAACTGCATCAAAGCAATTATATCAATTGCTCAAATTGTCTGGCAATTGATTGAGAATAATTCGAATTTATAAAAGTTTAATCAAATCGTATCAGGGCTGAAAATTTACTATTATGGGAAAATACCTCATTGAACATGGAAAAATTTCCAATTATTCCTCAATGTCAAATATTATCTCTCAAAATAATTATTATAACATTTTCTGTATAGGTAGTAATTTTGTTTTTCAAATTATTTTTATTATTTCGCTATGACTATAATTGGCCTGTAAGTTACCATTTTTATTCGCCAATTTCACGCTCCGCCGATGATTAATTTTTATTTGCAATAACAACCAGATCGAATCGAAAATCCCTGAAAAATTAATCAAATATAAATCTAATCAAGAACAGAACGATAACGTCCCTCTAATTTCCTATGTATAACGAAAACAATTAACCGGGTTAATGTGACGTGATTGAGAAGTCGATCAAAAGTTAATTGAAACCAATCGATCCTAAGGTTTGAGAGTGAGAGTTAAAATAAAAAGAATGGATTTCATTTATTTTATCTACATAAGTACATAAAACTAAATTTGTCTACCAAGGACAATCTTTGATACCAGTTTTTGGAAATTGAGCAAAACTTTATTCTGAAGTTGTCAATTTCTCAATAGGTATAAAGTTAAGTCTTCTCCATCTAATTTTGAAAATAATTGAACCAATTATTGACGAAATTCTCCTTTTCAAATATCGAATAATTAAATCAAAAGAAAAATATTAACGTTTGTAAAACTCAAGTCAAAGAAAAATAAAAACATTCTACTTGCCCAGCCCATGGACAATTTAATACTGCATTTGTTGGACTTTACCTACACGCTTTATATAAATAAAAAAAACCTATTATAAAATTCCTTCACCTAGCACCTGACCTTTCAAATCCGCAACCTTATACAAACAAATTAGTTCAGATCGAAACGAGGTGCATTTTAATAATCTGCTCTTATAACACGATTACGTAAAAAGAAAAACGAGTTCGAAACACCTTGAAATAAGAGATCAATAAACAATTAAGCAGGATTAAAAAAAAAACAACCTCACTAGTGACGAAATAAGCCATTTGGTGACGTCATATAGCATGCAGTATAATTCAAATTGATTTGTTTCTGTTTCAGCTTTTCAGCAGCGATCAATTCCAGAGAACAACTGACTCCGAGGGCTAATGCTCACAGTTACGCTATTGAGCTCAGCGAGCTCAAACGCAAAGAGGCCGGCGATTATGATCCGTATGATCATAGCGACATTGAACATCCAACTACGTAAGTTTAATAAATGTAATGTATATTTGTTATTTGAATAAATAGTGAAGATACGACTACTTTTAAACCAAATAAGTATCAAATCAAAATTTGATACTTTTCCAGTTCTACTTCAAATTGAGCTCCAAGAGGATAAGAAATGAGTCTTTTTGTCTTTGAATGGTCTGAAATTAGAGGTTGACGAGAGCCTGGAATAGAGTTTCTATTCTTCTCAGTTGAATTTTAGCTCTATGAGAGTGCAGAATGAGCTCATTTTCAAGCCACTCTATTTCAATTCTAACTACTAAATGGCCTGGAATCGAAATTCCATACTTTTTCAGTTTAATTTCTACTCTAGGAGAGCCAAGAAGAAAAATTTTGATGTTTTTCTACTCCAAGAGGATCAAAAAATAGTCTTTGGATGGTCTGAAATTCGAGTTTCATATCCTACAAGAGCCTGGAATAGAATTTTTATTCTTTTCCCTTGAATTTTAGCTCTATGGGGATGCAAAATAAGTTCATTCTCAAACCGCTCTATTTTAACTGTAACTCTTAAATGGTTAGGAATCGAATTTGATACTTTTCTGGTTCAATTTTTACTCTAGGACAGACAAGAACAAAAAATTTAATGTTTTTCTACTCAAAGAGGATCAAAAATTAGTCTTTCTTTCTGTGGATGGTCTGAAATTAGAGTTTCATAATCTAGGAGAGCCTGGAATAGAATTTTTATTCTTGTCAGTTAAATTTGGGCTCTATGGAGTTGCAAATCGAGCTCATTCTCAAACAGCTCCGTTTCAACTGTAACTCTTAAATGGTCAGTAATCGAATTTGATACTTTTCCAGTACAATTTTTACTCTAGGACAGACAGGAACAAAAATTTTAATGTTTTTCTACTTAAAGAGGCTCAAAAATTAGTCTTTCTGTCTTTGGATGGTCTGAAATTAGAGTTTCATATCCTACGAGAGCCTGGAATAGAATTTTTATTCTTTTCCCTTGAATTTTAGCTCTATGGGGATGCAAATCGAGCTCATTCTCAAACCGCTCTATTTCAACTGTAACTCTTAAATGGTCAGAAATCGAATTTGATACTTTTCCAGTACTATTTTTACTCTAGGACAGACAGGAACAAAAATTTCAATGTTTTTCTACTTCAAAAGAATCAAAAATCAGTCTTTCTGTCTTTGGATGGTCTGAAATTAGAGTTTCATATCCTAGGAGAGCCTGGAATAGAATTTTTATTCTTGTCAGGTAAATTTGGGCTCTATGGGGGTGCAAATCGAGCTCATTCTCAAACCGCTCTATTTCAACTGTAACTCTTAAATGATCAGGAATTGAATTTGATACTTTTCTGGTTCAATTTTTACTCTAAAACAGACAGGAACAAAAATTTTAATGTTTTTCTACTCCAAGAAGATGAAAAAATAGTCTTTCTATCTTTGGATGGTCTGAGATTAAAGTTTCATATTCTAGGAGAGTCTGGAATATAATTTTTATTCTTCCCAGTTAAATTTGGGATCTATGGGGGTGCAAATCGAGCTCATTCTCAAACCACTCTATTTCAACTCTAACTCTCCATTGATCAGGAATCGAATTTGTTACTTTTCCAGTTCAATTTTTACTCTAGGACAGACAGGAACAAAAATTTCAATGTTTTTCTACTCCAAGAGGATCAAAAATCAGTCTTTCTGTCTTTGGATGGTCTGAAATTAGAGTTTCATATTCTAGGAAAGCCTAGAATATAATTTTTGTTCTTCTCAGTTGAATTTTAGTTCTATGGTAAAATGAGCTCATTCTCAAACCGCTCTATTTCAACTCTAACTCTTAAATGGTCAGGAATCGAATTTGATACTTTTCCATTATAATTTTTACTCTAGGACAGACAAGAACAAAAATTTCAATGTTTTTCTACTTCAAAAGAATCAAAAATCAGTCTTTCTGTCTTTGGATGGTCTGAAATTAGAGTTCCATATCCTACGAGATCCTGGAATATAATTTTTATTGTTTTCCCTTGAATTTTAGCTCTATGGGGATGCAAATCGAGCTCATTCTCAAACCTCTCTATTTCAACTGTAACTCTTAAATGGTCAGGAATCGAATTTGATACTTTTCTGGTTCTATTTTTATTCTAGGACAGACAGGAACAAAAATTTTAATGTTTTTCTACTCCAAGAGGATCAAAAATTAGTCTTTCTGTCTTTGGATGGTCTGAAATTAGAGTTTCATATTCTAGGAGAGCCTGGAATATAATTTTTATTCTTCTCAGTTGAATTTTAGTTCCATGGTAAAATGAGCTCATTCTCAAACCACTCTATTTCAACTGTAACTCTTAAATAGTCAGAAATCGCATTTGATACTTTTCCAGTTCAATTTTTACTCTAGGACAGACAGGAACAAAAATTTTAATGTTTTTCTACTCCTAGAGGATCAAAAATTAGTCTTTCTGTCTTTGGATGGTCTGAAATTAGAGTTTCATATTCTAGGAGAGCCTGGAATATAATTTTTATTATTCTCAGTTGAATTTTAGTTCTATGGTAAAATGATCTCATTCTCAAACCGCTCTATTTCAACTGTAACTCTCAAATGGTCAGGAATCGAATTTGATACTTTTCCAGTTCTATTTTTATTCTAGGACAGACAGGAACAAACATTTTAATGTTTTTCTACTCCAAGAGGATCAAAAATTAGTCTTTCTGTCTTTGGATGGTCTGAAATTAGAGTTTCATATTCTAGGAGAGCCTGGAATATAATTTTTATTCTTCTCAGTTGAATTTTAGTTCTATGGTAAAATGATCTCATTCTCAAACCGCTCTATTTCAACTGTAACTCTCAAATGGTCAGGAATCGAATTTGATACTTTTCCAGTTCTATTTTTATTCTAGGACAGACAGGAACAAACATTTTAATGTTTTTCTACTCCAAGAGGATCAAAAATTAGTCTTTCTGTCTTTGGATGGTCTGAAATTAGAGTTTCATATTCTAGGAGAGCCTGGAATATAATTTTTATTCTTCTCAGTTGAATTTTAGTTCTATGGTAAAATGATCTCATTCTCAAACCGCTCTATTTCAACTGTAACTCTCAAATGGTCAGGAATCGAATTTGATACTTTTCCAGTTCTATTTTTATTCTAGGACAGACAGGAACAAACATTTTAATGTTTTTCTACTCCAAGAGGATCAAAAATTAGTCTTTCTGTCTTTGGATGGTCTGAAATTAGAGTTTCATATTCTAGGAGAGCCTGGAATATAATTTTTATTCTTCTCAGTTGAATTTTAGTTCCATGGTAAAATGAGCTCATTCTCAAACCACTCTATTTCAACTGTAACTTTTAAATGGTTAGGAATCTATTTTGATACTTTTCCAGTTCAATTTTTACTCTAGGACAGACAGGAACAAAAATTTTAATGTTTTTCTACTCCAAGAGGATCAAAAATTAGTCTTTCTGTCTTTGAATGGTCTGAAATTAGATTTTCATATTCTAGGAGAGCCTGGAATATAATTTTTATTCTTCTCAGTTGAATTTTAGTTCCATGGTAAAATGAGCTCATTCTCAAACCACTCTATTTCAACTGTAACTTTTAAATGGTTAGGAATCTATTTTAATACTTTTCCAGTTCAATTTTTACTCTAGGACAGACAGGAACAAAAATTTTAATGTTTTTCTACTCCAAGAGGATCAAAAATTAGTCTTTCTTTATTTGGATGGTCTGAAATTAGAGTTTCATATTCTAGGAGAGCCTGGAATAGAATTTTTATTCTTCTCAGTTGAATTTTAGTTCCATGGTAAAATGAGCTCATTCTCAAACCACTCTATTTCAACTGTAACTTTTAAATGGTTAGGAATCTATTTTAATACTTTTCCAGTTCAATTTTAACTCTAGGACAGACAGGAACAAAAATTTTAATGTTTTTCTACTCCAAGAGGATCAAAAATTAGTCTTTCTTTCTTTGGATGGTCTGAAATTATAGTTTCATATTCTAGGAGAGCCTGGAATATAATTTTTATTCTTCTCAGTTGAATTTTAGTTCTATGGTAAAATGATCTCATTCTCAAACCGCTCTATTTCAACTGTAACTCTCAAATGGTCAGGAATCGAATTTGATACTTTTCCAGTTCTATTTTTATTCTAGGACAGACAGGAACAAACATTTTAATGTTTTTCTACTCCAAGAGGATCAAAAATTAGTCTTTCTGTCTTTGGATGGTCTGAAATTAGAGTTTCATATTCTAGGAGAGCCTGGAATATAATTTTTATTCTTCTCAGTTGAATTTTAGTTCTATGGTAAAATGAGCTCATTCTCAAACCGCTCTATTTCAACTGTAACTCTCAAATGGTCAGGAATCGAATTTGATACTTTTCCAGTTCTATTTTTATTCTAGGACAGACAGGAACAAACATTTTAATGTTTTTCTACTCCAAGAGGATCAAAAATTAGTCTTTCTGTCTTTGGATGGTCTGAAATTAGAGTTTCATATTCTAGGAGAGCCTGGAATAGAATTTTTATTCTTCTCAGTTGAATTTTAGTTCCATGGTAAAATGAGCTCATTCTCAAACCACTCTATTTCAACTGTAACTTTTAAATGGTTAGGAATCTATTTTAATACTTTTCCAGTTCAATTTTAACTCTAGGACAGACAGGAACAAAAATTTTAATGTTTTTCTACTTCAAGAGGATCAAAAATTAGTCTTTCTGTCTTTGGATGGTCTGAAATTAGAGTTTCATATTCTAGGAGAGCCTGGAATATAATTTTTATTCTTCTCAGTTGAATTTTAGTTCCATGGTAAAATGAGCTCATTCTCAAACCACTCTATTTCAACTGTAACTCTTAAATAGTCAAAAATCGCATTTGATACTTTTCCAGTTCAATTTTTACTCTAGGACAGACAGGAACAAAAATTTTAATGTTTTTCTACTCCTAGAGGATCAAAAATTAGTCTTTCTGTCTTTGGATGGTCTGAAATTAGAGTTTCATATTCTAGGAGAGCCTGGAATATAATTTTTATTATTCTCAGTTGAATT